TGTAATTCCTCGACTCGGGCAATTTGCTTTGTTTCGGAGGGTGGATATCGTTGATGTAGCAATACAAGACATTCTATAATCGTAGGTTCCCTGTTTGTCGTATAGTTTGTTTCTATTTCGCTAATTTTATAATTAGTATTTTGAGTGTAATTAGTTTTCGCTTATAGAGTGTTTCGACCATTATAATTTTTTTGCGATCAGATCCTAATTACCAAGAATGAGGGGTCCCCAATTGTTATGTCTAGACGAGGAGGTGTTATGGCTAGACGCGATAATGTTTAAAATACTGTCGCGTTGGTAAAGGTTGGATCTTAGTCAGGAGGTAAGCAGAGGTTGGTTAAAGGGATAACGCCTTTATTATATCTGGTGTGTATAGGTAGATGACTAAGTTTCTTACCTTGTTAGGACCGGGCTTCAGAGGAGATTTCATGAATGAGTCTCAGGTGTTTGTACTTGATTTAGATTTATTATTTGAAAGAACAATTTTAGAGTACAATTCCGGTTCTGAGTAACCGGGTAGCAAAACTTAGAAATAATACAATAGTACTATACTACAGAATTACTAAACTACTACTGCCTTTTTGCGGATCCTGATCCAGCCTTTTTATATCATAGGCTGACGTCCTACTTCCCTGTCCTTTTGCCAAATTAAGATGTGATTAGTAATACTATGGAGAACGTGCTTAGCTTAATCTATTTCGCTAGATAAATTTACAAATCTTCCCGGAAAAGTTGTTAATTGGTATGATAGGAAGTTAAATTACCGATACCCGATTAGTTACCATAGCTCGTCACGTGCGTTTTCTTAGTATCGACGTGACATCTGATTAGTTACTATAGCCCGTCACGTGCGTTCTCTTAGTATCGACGTGACAATATCCATTGCAAAACGAGAGGACGCTCAAGAAATAGTAAAAGTAAAAAAGTATGTGGGGCTCCACTAGCAAGTAAGCTTTGTAATTTTGACAAAAAAAGCTTATGTCAACAAGCCAAACTTATTTTTCAAATAATAACTAATACCAATGCTATAACTAATAATGTTTTGGAAAGAAGTGTTGATATAACATTATTATATATCAAAGAGCTCCTTCAAAACAATTGTTCTGACATTTTAAAAGATCAGCTGATCTATAACGAATTTCTATCTATCTAGTTTTTCTGTAAACCAGAAAAACTTGGTTTATAAATATTTAGTATCATTGATTAAACGTAAAAGAAGAGAAAGAGAATTAATTTGCTCGACTTGCCTTTTAAAATCTGATGAAAACATAGCTCAATGCAATAGTTGTCTTCATAAGTATCATTTAAAGAATTGTATTTCGCGACATAAAATGAAATGTACCTATAAAGTCAGTCATGGTTCTCTGATCGCTGTATTACTTATTCAGAAGAATAATTATTTATTTGACTGTACGTTGAAAGCGCGTATTCATAAAGTAATGTGCTCAATTATAATTATGTATATATTTATGTATACAGGGTGAGTCATTTTAATTTCCCCAGTCTAATAACTTTTGAAACAAGCAAATTACGCAAAAATGTTTCAGACCAAAGTTGTAGGGGTTCAAGGGGGACATCTAGGGGTGACTTTGAAATTGACCTTGAGCTTGACCTTGACGGCTTTCTCAAGGTCAAGTCTATTTTTTTATTGGGAACCCCTATTTCTGACCTCGGAATCGGAAAGAGCGGGAAATTTTACATCCAGATAACATCTTTTAACATGGGTCAAAATAAACCCTTAAGGTCATGCTAAGGTCAAAACTATCCTGGAACAAGAATCGAACAATGTAAGCAAAATACGAAAAAATGACTCAGAAAAAAGTTGTAGGAGTTCAAGGGGGACGTCTAGGGGTGACTTTGAAATTGACCTTGAGCTTGACCTTGACGGCTTTCTCAAGGTCAAGTCTATTTTTTTATTGGGAACCCTTACTTCTGACCTCGGAATCGGAAAGAGCAGGAAATTTTACAGGATTTAAATTTTTTAAATTTTAAAATTTTTTAAATTTAATTTTTTTAAATTTTACGGGACTATTCTTGTTTTCGTTCCCTATCCTTTTTTATTTTTCACTGGACTGTATGATTATTATTAATAAATTTCAAATATTGGAAGTTGTTGCTAATAATTTGCTATTACAAGTCTATTAAATTAATGAAACTATTTCAGTATCAATCTGATGTTCTGCAAAGAAATAAGAGTAAAAGTTAAATACATAAGGATAAATTTCATGTTCAATGAAGAATCTATTACATTTGGAAGTCGTTTAGAAAGTAATCGCAATACGTTCAGTCGTGATTTCAATTTTGAAAAAGCTTTAAATATTACTTTTGTTTTAACCATGCTTGTGTTCATTGTATCACTATCATTATTTCTTCATATTTGAATAAGAGACCTTTCTTATTGCCATCGATCATATGAAATCTAATTTGGACAATATTGCCTCTGTTTTCAGTAATATTTAATTTGTATCATCTTTCTATGATCTTCGCCTTTGTTGATTTGTATTGAGGTTTTTTGAAAAAATCTTTTAAATATGGCTGATTTTACCCCAACAGAGATAGTTGATATGATTTGGATTTTAGGAGAATGTAGAGGTAATTACCGTGAAGCGTCAAGGTTGTATCGAATTCGATACCCACAAAGGCGCCATCCTGATCACCGTACCATTCATCGTCTTGAAGAAAGAGCTCGACAAGGGCATCTACGAAGAAGTCGACCAAGACATGAGTATGATGATAGAGATGCTAGGGTTTTGGTTGTCTTAGGATTGGTTCACCTAAATCCTCATATCAGCAGCCGACAAATAGAGAGAGAAACAGGAATACCTCAGAGAACCGTTATTAGAATTTTAAGAAGTAATAGATATCATCCGTATCATATTACCTTAACGCAAGCATTAAACGCTAATGATATGAGAAACAGAGTAAATTTCTGTCGGTGGGCTCTACAGATGATTTTGCAGGATCCGAATTTTTTTAATTATGTCCTTTTTTCTGATGAAGCTACGTTTCATAGTACTGGCCAATTGAATCGTCACAACAGTCATTATTGGTCTGATCAGAATCCTCACTGGTACAGACCAGTCGATAATCAACATCGTTGGAGTGTAAATGTATGGTGTGGAATAGTTAATGGTCATCTCATCGGGCCATTCTTTTTTGAAGAAAACGTCAACGGCAATGCTATTTTAGAACTTTTAAGGGATCATCTCCCACTTTTACTTGAAGACGTAGATCTTGAGACTAGACGTCGAATGTGGATACAACTGGATGGTGCAGGACCGCATTTCGCTTTAATTGTACGAGAGTTTTTAAATAGAAATTTCCAACAAAGGTGGATTGGAAGAGGTGGTCCAGTTGCTTGGCCTGCACGATCACCGGACTTAACTTCCCCAGATTTCTTCCTTTGGGGATACTTAAAAAATACTGTGTTCGCCGAAGCGCCCACAACAAGGGAGAATATGATAGAAAGGATTAGAGTTGCATGTAGACAAATCTCTAGAGATATCTTACTGCGCACTATTGAAAGCTTCGAACAGAGGCTCAGGCAATGCATCGACGTAAATGGTAATAATTTCGAGCAAAACCGATAGGAAATAAGTTTATTCTAGTTTCATCACGAATTGTGAGAGGCAAGGGGACTCACATTAATAAAGCACCCCAAATCGTGAGAGGCAAGGGGATTCACGTTAATAAAGCACCCCGAATCGTGAGAGGCAAGGGGACTCACGTTAATAAAGCACCCCAGAGGGAACATAATCCTATTACGTCCACGTCGTTGTTCCTGGGTAGTGCTAAAGATAGGAAGTTTATGATCTTAAACATCAGCATCGTTAGTACATGGCCAGTCCCTTATTCTTTGGAAGTTTATTTAACAACGGTCATATGCGATAAAAGCTTCGCCTCGAAATGTAACAAAAATAAGAGAATTTTCAAGAATTTGACCTTTGCTTCACATTGAGAATAGAAGTACGACAAAGGTCTTCGATGCTCGTTAAACCTTTTGATGTTTGAAAACGGCTTCAATTTCTTAAGTAAAAACTGAAATATTGTTTATGTTCTTATGAAAAAAAAACTAAATAGATACTTGAACGTAAAATTTCCCGCTCTTTCTGATCCTGAGATCAGAAATAGGGGTTTCCATTGAAAAAATAGAAATGACCTTGAGAAAACCGTCAAGGTCAAGCTCAAGGTCAATTTCAAAGTCACCCCTAGATGTCCCCCTTGAACCCCTACAACTTTGGTCTGAAACATTTTTGCGTAATTTGCTTGTTTCAAAAGTTATTAGACTGGGGAAATTAAAATGACTCACCCTGTATATTTGAATATATGTATATATTTGAATATATGTATATATTTGAATATATACTGCTCAATCACATTTATATTGTAACTGGGTATGAATTCCGCTGCCGATTTAATTTGCGATGCTCCTGTATCATACGATGGCTATTCCCAGACTGGTTCTTCTACCTTCGCGATCGTTCCGTTCCATATCGGACCGAGTTCCCGTTTTCCGCTTTCCCCGGCCGGTAGGTGTTGCCCTCATAGGTAGACGCGTGATCGAGACGATAGCGCAAACAAGACGTTTACCGTCACAAAGTATATATTTGAAAAAGATCAGTAAAAAATTCATTTACAATGATGATATATAATGTTTTTTATTACAGATTGTTAAAGCTTATAGTTCTTCAAATATCGTCTCTTAATGTATATACTACTACGTGTGTACCATGTTTTCGTACACTAGAGAGTTGTTCAGAAGAAATTCTCCTTGCGTACGCAAAAACTCACCTGTAATATTAAAAAATTACGTACGCAAGACCTAACTTAGCGTACGTTTTCTCATCCCTCTAAACAATCACTTAATTTAATTGAAGGACATAAGAAATTCATAACAAACTTATTATGAATAGTTTTAATATAACGATATAACTTACGTAAATTAATCAAATTAGAATTTAATATATAAATTGAATTAGAATTTTATGTACCAATTTAATTGATTAAACTTTATTCAAAACTGGTATTTATTTGTTACATAAGGACAAATAGTACAGTTTAAGCAATTGAAACATTGAGGGTTTCGTGATCGACAAATTTCTTGACCAAAACCAACAAACAATTGGTTTATCTCTGCCCAAAGTTCTTTTGGAAGCCATGATTCTAAAGCAATTCTTGTTTCTTCTGAATTTTTAGTTGGCTTTTGTACCCATTTAAGACGGTTGCTAATTCTATGTACATGTGTATCCACACCTATTCCAGTAATTTCATTCCAAGCAACCTGCATACAAATATGTCCCATTTTTGGTCCAATACCAGGTAGGGCACAAAGAGCTTCCACATTCTTAGGTATGTCACCATTATAGTCTTCTAGTAGTATTTTTGAAGTCCTTTTTAAATATTGTGCTTTGCGCTACAAATATTATATCAAATTAAAATACAAGTAAAATGACAGAAAACAGCTTAAGCCTAACGATTACATTTATGAAATATATAGTATTGACAATAAAGTACAATTTTTTTTTCTTAAGAAATATATATCACACCAAAGTAGCTTGTGTTATAATTTAGCTGATTGGAAATTTTACGTCAATCTATTACTTAAAATTTTCGTCTATCTATTGTTATTGTGACTTCACTGTACCGTAGAATCTATAAATAAAGTGTATTTTGAACATTGGCACAAATAATTTTTGATATTGGTGCATCCGATTTAACATCGATTACAAAATCTGTGACGGAGAATTTCGGCTAGGCCGATCTCGCCCGTTTGGCTCTCGCAAATGTCCGTGCGCCGCGCCAGGCTGAGAGTGTGTACGTTTGGCACACACACTCATGCTTGGACCTTTTGTTTGCGAGGTGCTGAACACGGGCTGAGCTGACGACTGGAGCGACGCAGATGGCGCAGAAGAAGAGAGAAGAGAGAGAGAGAGAGAGAGAGAGAGAGAGAGAGAGAGAGAGAGAGCGCTCGAATTGCGGATCGCCGCGGAAAATTCGGGGAGTCTCTGCTAAGCGAGGAGCAGAGGAAGTCGCGCGCGCGGATAAAACCGACGGTGACGGTTTTTCAAAGTTGGCCTCGCGACCTCGTCGACGATCGTTCGTTTTGGAGACACGCCCGGTGCGCGGACGAGTATCGGAGTGTGAGGCTGGGTCGCGCCCAGCCGTGTCCCGAAGTATACCCGGCACCGGTGCGTGTGAGTTATCCGCGAGGTGCGCGGGTGCGCGCGCGAGCAGTCAGGACGTGCTGTCGTCCAGAACAATAAGAAGGCGGCGAAGACAGCAGCAACAACGATCAACGAGCGGGTTGCGGTTGAGGCGGCAATATTGCGGAGCAAGCGAGAGGACGAGCGAGAAGACAGATAGTGACGACAAAAGAATATACCAGCGATACGGTCAGCGAGGAGCACACCAGTGACGTCACGGTGCAGAGCGCTCCAGCCGTCGGAGAGGCTGAAGGTCGAGGTCGGTGCCGTATTTTTCTCTTGTCTCTCTCTCTTGCATGTTTGGGCGTCAGTCTATGGCTGGTAGCACAGCAGACCTGCTGGCTACCCGTCGATAGCCTATCAGCGAAAAGTGTTTGTCGGGCATTTGTTATAATATCTAGTTTTTATAAGGGAATCGGTAGGCTGACCAGCCACCGATTCACCTTCGCGTTCGCGTTTGTTATTGTACCGCTCGTAGTGTGTAAGTCCGAGGTTGCCGTATTGTAATCGTTTGTTGACAATTAAAGACTAGCGTATTAATCCGCTGTTGTGTTTATTCGCCGCTGTATCACTCCTCATCCCGACTTCGAATCTGTGCGTTTAACGTGTTTATGCTCGACGCGTTATTCAGTCGTGGGAACGTCTTTTGCTTCCCGAATCCCCGAATAAATAATTTGTGCGGACGGTCGCGAGCAACCCAGACGGGTACGGCCGGAATTCTCCGTTACAAATCTTAAATAATGATGTAGGTAGTCCAGCGTCAATGCCGGAAACCACTTACGCAAATTCTATGGCTCTACAACGTCCGCGCAAGGAGTTTAGCGCTAGAGTAGATAATCTCCAGCATTAATGCGAGTAGTCTGACGATGGGATGAGAAGTCTAGCATTTTCACGGAATATCTCTGATATTTGCAGTATATTGTTATTGTTACTGTAACTTCAAGAACTAAGTCCACGTAAAACGCTGTAAAAGTACACTAGGTACCTGTGCGCATTAGTCTTGGTTTACTATAGTCATGAACATGTAGACCCACCTACCCGATCATTTCTTGAAAATGTAGGAGGAAAAAATTTTACATGCATCAAGGTTGGTCCTATAGTTTAAGGTGGAATCAAGTCTGAACCACCAGAATCACGATAACAAATATATGAAAATTTCATTACTGAAAATCTTCACATGACCGAGGCTCGAACCCACGACCTTTTTCACAGAAACCTGGATTCTTACCAACTAAGTCACCGTGACCCTATTATAACCCGAGTTTAATGAAAACCATTTTAATTATAAATATTTAATTATTTTAGTACTAGTATTTTTACTAAATTTTTTCATGACTAATAATTTTTTTTTTGATTTTGTATTGTGTATAAGAACTATTAGTCCAACTGTTTGCCATCAATAACAAAAAAAAATTTTTTCAAATAAGATTAATTATTAAAATTTTCTAAAATTTACAGTTTTATAGTATATTGACTCCTTGAATTTAGAAAATGATGAGAAGGTAATGCATTTTATCAATATATACTATAAATTGGCATTTGGCTAAAACGTTACATATATCAAAAGTAATAAATTAAATCAAAAGGTAACTGCAGCAAAATTTTATATTTTTAGTTGGCACACTAACTGATTGATATGTGAATAATTTTTTATGTTGAGGAATATTTATAAATATAATAGAAAATTTCTTATAATATTTTAATATATATTGAGAACAACTAAAACTATTTTGATTGTTAAATATTTAACAATAATCAATCTCTAACAGTCACATGATCTTGGAATTCTATAAACTGTAATAAAATGAATCAACACATATCTTTTATTCTAAAAATTTAGATAATCCAATCAAATTTTTCATATATATAATCAGTTTTCAGCCAGTTTTCAAATATATGCAGAACTATTGCATGTACTATCATTCAGTCACTTTTTCTATTATTGCTTAGCCTTTTGGTTATTAGGTCACTTTAATTTCTACTACATTTTATGTTGAATCATTCCATGAATCTGAATCAGTATTTGTTATATGTAATTAATAGATAACACCACTTTTATAATTTAAAATAAAATAAGCTGGATATTGGTGCCAGATTGAATAATAATTTACTATATATCTTTAAATAGATGAGTCAATTATTGGTCAATTGATTAAATTCGAGACTCAATTATTATAAATTTTCATATACTTTTTATTGTATTCATTCAAACCTGACAATTCCCTTGAATAAAATGTTAATATGGTAATTTCTTATTTGAAAATTTTATAGCAGAACCAGTATCTTTTATAAAAAGAAATTTATAATTTTAAACATTATAATCAAGTTCATGAACTAACATGCTTGTACTAATTTGTTAAATAAGGAAATAACCAGAAAAATCTAGTTTATTTTTAATTTTAGGAAATTGAAAAAAAAGTTTTTTTAGAGCATCATTAATCCATTATACATAGAACAAACATTATAACAAAGATAGAAAAAAAAACTCTAATTATTTATAAAAACTAGCTTTACAAAGTATTGGTTAGATTTTCATTCCGCATCTGCTTCACTTTTATTAAAAATTTAATTTATTGTATATCTGCTAATTATATATAACAATAAATTAAATAAATATATTTACAAATAATCAATAAAATTTACCTTCCAAAAGCTAACGGGATATATAAGTTTTTCAAGTTCTTCATCTGACATTGAGGCAATTATTAAAGGACTGCAATTAATCTTTTTCAAACGATTCATTGCTTCAAATGTAACTTTATCTTTAGTTTGACTACTTAACATAAGTGCAATTAATGACTGAAATCGAAAGATTGGAGCTTCAGCTAACTTATCTGCACACTTATGACATCCCATTTTATCTACTGGTGCTAACAAATTACAGCGCATTTGTCTTATATTTTTCAACTGTCTTTCCCAATTGTACGGCACCCAATTATTTTTTTCAGTATCTTCAATTTTATAAATATTTTGTAATGGATAATGTAACTTAACATTTTTTGACATTGCATCATTTCCAATAGCAATTTCTGTATTGCATTTTGTTTCTTTACATTCTATAACAAATTGTTCTTTGGAACATTTAGAATTACTTTTAATCTTTTGCCCAATATCCATGAAAAAACGAGATGTTTCAGTATCAACATTGCATTCTGGGTTACAAGTTTTACTAAAATCCAACTTTTTAAGTCTTTTTAGATTCAAATTAGTCATTTTGATCACAAAAAAAATTATGCAATTGAATTACATAAATAACATAGTTACCAGGATCTTTGAATAAACATTGAGCTACAAAACCTCCAAAAAATGCTCCCAAAGTGATCTATAAATAAATAATATTCTACAAAAATAATTATCAACTATTTGTTCTTTAATAAAAATGATAATGAATTGACTAATAAAGATAGAAATCAGTTTGGAGTTTCAATAGTTTAATCGAAAAAACGGGTCCCCTGCAAATTATTTCAGTTTGCTTTACCAAAGAGCGTGTGACCAGAGATTAGGAGGGAGATTGCTAAAGATAGATCCCCGACCACCCTGTCTGACCAGCATAATTAATTGAAAATAAAATAGCAATATACAAACTGATAGTTCTTTAATTGATCAATACGATTACGTTTTCAGATTTTTTGCCTGTCTATAGTTTCTCAGTGATACATTAATAATAATCGGTTTATCATCTACGATTCAAAATTTTCCTCAATAACACAAAAACGTTTACAAAATGTTTTAAATGTTGATGACTATTAGTGAAAAAAATGTTTTTAAACCTTTTTAAAACGTTATATATATCCGTGAGTAATACGTTTTGAAAACGTTTTAAAAAAGTTTTTTATAAAAATTTATACAATAGGCCCACCCCAGCCAGCAAGGTTTGTTACCAAAATGTTGCTACAACATTGATTTCCAAACACGGCAACTTAATCGGCAACCAAAAAAAAGGTTTCGGAAATGTTGGAGCAATATTGAAATGTCCGCTTTTATTTGAACCAAAATGTTGCCAAAATGTTATCTCAACAAGTTGCCTCGATGTTTCCACAATGTTGCCACAACAAATATTTGAGAAAATTTGACGCGATCGATGGCTTTGTTGTAGTAATGTTACTGCAATGTTGCAAAAGCGCGGTCACGCAACATTGTCATAACGACGATACAACACGTTGACAACAATCTCCCTTTTCCAGAAGATGTTAGTTCCAACTTGTTAGCAACCTTCTTGAAACATTGTGGCAACATATCGATCTACAGGAATCAACTGCGAAACATTGTAGCAACATTTCCTCAATGTTCCAGCAACGGCTCCAGGACATCACCAAAACATTAATGAAAAAAATATAAAAAAAATCATTTTTCGTTTATGCATATGTAATGAGTATAATTTTGAATTTTTTTTTCAAAATCTTGTTTTATTTTTCGATGAACAAAATGTTACATTATTTAGTTTACAAACAACTTATAATCTTAATAATACGTACAAAGCAGAACAATTTGATAATATCGTCTTATTCTTAATATCAACATTTTCATTAATCTCGCAAGGCAACAATCTTAGGCTTTTTTTTTTGGTTACGCTTTTTCATTATATTAAGCTCTACACAAAATTAAAATTGCGCAAAACGGCTTTATGCACTTGGATTTCTTACGCAAAAAATCACATTCAGTCTGATATACGTTCGTCGATTTTTTTTTGTCAACGCAGCGGTGTGAAACAAATTTTTTTTTCATATTCATCGAGATGAGATACACCTTTTTTAGTATTTTATATTTTTTTCGGACAGGGTGGTACTTTTTTTACAAAAAAAACGTTTCAAAATCAAAATATCTACGAAATAATATTGACCATTATAGGAAAAAAACACATAGTTTCTCTCGAACGTGTGTTTTTTTTTTCAAGTAAAAAGTACAATAATTTTTTTGTCAAGCACGAATGTAGAGCTAATTTGAAGGAATGTGTCATCTATAAAGTGAAACTATTTTTATAATCATCTTATATGTAAAAAGAATTCAATTTTAATCGGACTTTTTTTTCATGATTATTGGTCGAATAGTTTGAAAAAAAATCCGCGGCCGCAAATAAACTACTAAAGATTTTTTTGTTCAGCTTGTAATGAAAAAACACGGCAATTAAAAGCTAAATTTTGTTGAAAACACATTCATTATTTTATATTATTGAAACCCACCATCGTAAACATTGAAAACAAAGTTTTTTTTCAAACTCGTTCAACGGAAGAATAAAACATTTTGATCGCCTCCTGTACGAAAATATTCCAACACAGTCAGATACGGTCAAAACAAATTTGTTTTTTTTTCTTATCACGCAGTAGTTCAATTATAATATGTATTACGAATCCGATATTTCGATATATTTATACAGCCGTCATTGACAATCTTTGAGATCTTAAATTTAATTATAATACAAGTACAGCGATGTATGACTGATTTTTTTTCATATTCATCGAGATTAATTATAATACAAGTACAAGAACGCGGATGTTTTTCTCTATAAGTCGCGCGGTATGATTTTACAAATAGCAGCAGCTTTATACAATCAAATCACTGTAACAGTCAAAGAAATTTTATTCCTTTTTATTGCGTAGTGTGTGTAGAATCGGAAAAACTACTTTAACTTGCTTGTATGGTAATATTAACACTTTGGCTGTAATATCATCAATTTTCCAACATTCAGGAGACGCGCTGTCGTTTTTCTGTACAACATTAATTCCTAGTTGACTAGAAGATAGAGGCTGCGTATATACAGGCCCTAGAATATCCAATTTCTTTCCAACGATGCAGTAATCTTTGTTGTTGCATACAATATTCAAAACTTTAACTACGTGCTGATGATTGACATAGACGTAGCTGTTTTTATCATCATCACAATTTATCTTGAATGTGTCGAATATCCCAACTTTGTACTGTAATACATCTGTAGGTTGGTCTGCTACAGGACCTGTATGATGTTGTTGTTTAAAAATCGAAATATTGTCATTGCACATGTAAAATTCTTTACTCTTTCGATTTTCGATTTCAGTTAGTCTGCGCGATATTTGTTGTAAGGGCCGATTCCCATTGCGGATTAGATTTTTTATTCGTCCAATAAAGTTTTCAAACCTGAAGGCTGAAAATGTATCCAATTCTCCGTATCTTCGTACGTCATTAGCTAAGTGATACAAACCATGCACATTATGAGATACATAACGGCGACCATAAAGCTTTTGAAATGTAGGAACAAACATACACAGCAATTTTTCACCATAATCGATCCAAGAATTATATTTACACATCAATGGATTACTGAATATACTTATAGCAACGTGTAGAACTACAAAATGGTTGTAGATAGCAGGAGATACATTATCTTTCAAAACAATTATACCAATGTATAACAAGATTTGTCTCCATTCTGTGGCTTTAAAGAATTTAATATCTTTGAAACTTCGTGGTTTCCTGGCGAACTCGTATGGAATATAATCGGCTAATGTGATCATTGCAGCAGAAATGCGATTAATTACATATGCTGGAAGTTTACAAGAAAGTCGCGCGAACAACCAAATCAAAAATAATTTGCGACAGACACCCAAAAATACCAAGTGCATCGGGTCCAAAGGGACTTGAGATACTAGACCTAGTTTAGGTATTTTTGATAAACTTGATTTTTTTAATTGATAATTTTTTTTTTGTCTTCATCGGAATAGGCAAACTCGTTGAATTTGGCATCTTCTCTTAAAGTCGAAATCCCTCCTGGAAAACAAACGCATTTCTTCATTTGACCAACAATTTCACATTTCGTGCAACTAGAATAGCCTGAATGGCATTTCACTCCCAATATATAGGCTTTTGCGGGGGCGTCGCAAATTATGCCATCAATGATTACATCATAATGCGTTTTCAATATGGTGATACCATTATTAACAAAATTCTTCGCTTCTTCTATAAAAAATTTCAAGAATTCATCAGAATCTTCAGGTTTGGAACATCCATTAAAGATGCCTACAATATAAACATTTTTTCCTAGCTTATCCGAGCACAATATAGGCCATAACGTTTTTGCAGTACTTTTTCCCATTGGAGCTCCGTCGACGTTGATTAATAGATCTATGGTTTTTTGTTCAATCTTTAATAATCTTCTATCTAGTGCAATTTTTTCTAAACATGAAGATAATCCAAAATGGCAGTATTCGCCTCCATTTATTTTGTAAATTTCTGTATGTTCAGGAGTTTTAAGTAAAGTTCTTGAATCTAATGGTAATTTCAGTGAAGGAACATCTCGACGCAGTCGGTGCAAAAGGTCTGTGAAAGCTGTTTGTGTTATATTATTGTCAATGACCCATTCAGGAAGTAGAGTTTTTAATTGATCAGACACATTACCGATATTTTCGCTCTTTGAATTATTATCAGATAAAGTATTCGTGACATTAAATTTATAATTAACTGAACTACTAGGATCGTCGGCCTCACAAACATCACTCGATTCGCAATCGCTGTACCCGCTATCCTCACAATCGCTATACCGGTATTCAAATTCAGTGTCTTTCATTATTATATCTTCGTCGATACAGTCGTACCATTCATCATTTGTAAATTTGTCAGCAATGGTTTCACAGCCGAGTATCTTCGTATGAAAATTGCTAGTTAGAGTTTCATTACTATTCTTGATAGGGTCAATGATTTCGTTGCTAATCAAGTAAACTTCATCAGTTTTTTCTTGTATCTGCGTAGTTGATGACTGAGTATCAGTTACATTGCTATAATCATTTCTATTATCAACACATTTCTTGATGAATTTCTTTATTACTTCCATATTCTTCTCAGTTCTATTTTGTACGAGTCTTCTTTTGTGCCTTTTTGTGTACATCCTATCGTTAATCGAGCACTTACTCCGTTGTTGAGCCACCTGAAATGCCAAAGTATAATCTTGTTTAATTGTACACAATATCATCTATCTATTTATTAAGAGGATGGCGTAACCAATTTAAGCTTTGCAGGAAGTCGTTATACATCAACAGTTTGTAATTTAGATTTAAAAAATTGGTCTTTCTGTATTCTCAAGGTCATAAACTATCCGGGATGACTTTCAAATTTGTCAAAAAGTAAAAATTGAGCGAGAAAAACAAAATCGACGGAGACCTATTTCGGAGGGCTCTCTACGCTGCGTAATTTTGAAATCGCTGTTATTCCACCAATATTCACTTCGGATTGATTATTAAAGTCATCCCGGATGACGAATAATCTATAGATTATTATTAAATTCCAACAATTCAAGAAAATTTAAATTAATTACGTATAATGGAATCTACGAAATTTTGAGGTTAGGGTTTGATACGCCATCCTCTTAATGAAGTGGATTTCGATTTTCATACAACTATTATATCACATTCTATGTATAATTCTGAGATACGTGTGATTTTCCCTTTTAGCCCTATAGTGTCATTTCAAAGTATACATCGTAAAATCGTTTTTAAGATCTGATTGTTAAGAATCGTTTTTAAGACTATGCAGTTTATTCGGTTGGCCGCCATTTCGGCGCATTCATTGTATCGGGTAGATTTTTTTTCACAATGTCGGAATTCCAATCAGCTTCAAGATGCTGTTTTCGAAGTTCCAATATCTTTGCTAAATTTTCCGAAAGACCGGAAAAATTGAAAAAAAAAACATAATTTTCTAAAAGGCCATTCTCGATATGCACGAAACTTCAACATGTTGTTTTTAGACTAATAAGCTATTCTTTGGCCAAATCACAATATTCTGTGTGGTTCGCTTCACGAGATGTGTTCTCGTAAACATAATATAAAATTTATATAGTGAGCAATTCCACCAATTTTTTAATAATCGGTGCGCAGGTGAGTTCACCAATTTCGCCGGCGATTTTTTCTATGTTAGTACATAAAAAAAAAGAAATCTTTAGGCAATTTCAGATTTTTTTAGCGCACATATGAGCAATTCCACAAAAAATGCCTCATAATTCGGGACAGTTTTTGAAAAAAGTCAAATCGAGTGCACGCCTTACAAATATGATTTTCTTATTCTACATCAAATATGGAACCAGAAAATCCATGTGCCCACAACCGCTCGCCCGTGTGACAACCTTTTTTCCTTAATAAAAGTTAAAAAAAAAGACCAAAGAAAAACTTAACTTTTCATGGTTTTTTTAAATTATATGAAAAACAAAAAAACGATAGCGAAAATCTGACTTCAGATTCGAATTCTATGACTCAAAATACATCAAAAACCATACCTCATTTATTTTTTATTCCTAATTTTGAGCCCTACAGAGCCTATCAAAGTCGGAAACTCCGTAAAATACAAAATTTCTTATTGAATAAATTCAAGTAAAATCAACTTTTTATGAATTTTCGTCGTTTTTTCAAATTTACAGAAAAACTAAAAAAAGATAGCGTAAATCTGATTTCAGATTTGAATTCTACGGCTCAAAATACATCGAAAAACATATTCAGTTTTATTTTTCATCACAATTTGACCTTCGCAGAGCTCTTTGAACACGTAAATCTCACTCAAATGTGCAAACACCTCGAAATTTTACTATTTTTAAGGGTTTATAGAGTGTCAAACATTGACAGGCTTTGTAGGATTCAAAATTACGAGTAAAAAACGCTGCCAACTGCATTGGCGGAGTGCTTCCTGGTAAAGCGTCAAAAACGGTACTCTTTTATAATCGTTGCTACCCATTTTTCAAATAACTTCAATGTTGACAAATGCAGTTATTTTAAATTTGGCTGTTTTCCGGGCTACTTTCAGCATTCAAAGAAGAGAATGGAAAATGTTTCAAATCCCTAGCAAGCATAGATTCGCAACGGTGACTGGTACAAAATTGAACGAAAAACAAGAAATTCAGAAAAAAACGACGTTCTAGTTGAGTGACTCTAAAAAATTTTCTAATCAGTCAAACTGGATGATTCTTGTGTCTCCCGATTACTTAAATGAAAATTTAAATAATAAAAAAAAAATTGGAAGAATAAAAGCAAAAATAACCGTTACAAGATACAACCAAATTTGAGTCGCCAAAACCCGAAAATTTTTTGCGATACTTCATTGTCGAAAAATGACTATAAAATTTTTTCTACTCACTATAACACGATAAATCTTTTTTCCCACCGACCCACCACACAATCCAATAGATTAGAAAAACAAATGAAGCAATTACTCTAATAGGTTCGCCAGGATGATGCGAAAGTCATTTACATACATACACACACACACACACACTATTAAATATCCTTATGGATATTTAATAGAAAGAAACGCCACCACTTTTTTCTGTAATAACACTTTCGACGTTCTCTATATGTAGCAGCAAAAAAAGTTCTTTGGCAAACAAATCGCGATGGTGATTTTTGAATACTCCTCAATTTTAATATAATATGTTCAGAATTCAATGACTGATATAAATATGAAACTTATAAGGTGGATATCCAGAGTAAATTTAATTTTTTTCTTTTTAGACCAAAGATTTTGAAACTTTGTCTACATATTGTACATAAAAAAACGATAATTTTGTGTTTTTGCTATAATTTTTTCTTAGTTTATGTTCACCTAATAAACAGATCAAACTGTTTTTTTTCAGTTTGTTATAAAAGTTCCATCCGCATACTACTTTGACCAAAATATTTTATTAAAGGCTCATTTTGTTCGATCAAACCAACCTTACTAAATTCAAATAAAAATTGTCATCGACACCTATCTTCCACTAAAATAAACCATCAAATATAATTTTAATCTGAAAGTTTGATAAATAGTCAACCTCATTTGAACATTTAATGGCTTATTTTAATTGAAGGTTGGTTTCGGTGACAAATTTTAGGTGGCTTTATAAGCTTAATTTCATCGATGAAAATGAGCACTCAAACAACTACTATGGTCAAAGTAGTATACGCATGGAACATTTTCAATAAAAAAAGACAGTCAAATTAATATGATAAAGTTGAACAGAAATATATTGGTACAATTGACTTTGCAGTATAAAATAGAATCAGTGTACAAATTTGATAATCCTACATGAAGGACTTCAATTTCCATCCTTCAATGTGAGAAAATAATGTAGAAATTATAACTAAAAACCCATCATATTAATTGCCTATCTCTCAGAAAAAAATTAATAAATACCTTGTTCATCTTGTGTGTAAATTAATTGCGTAATTGATAGCAGTTTCAATTGAAGATGTCCCTGTGGAGTATGCAAAAAAAAACAAATTAATAAGATACTTGAAAATGAGATTGAGCTATCATTGAAAATTTTTCAATGAATTTTTGGTATGATTACTTACTTAGAAATAATGCATATATTCTGGTCTATCACCAAGCGATGAAAATTATCCTAACTATACAGCAGTCCACCACATAGAAGAACTTCATGATCATTGTGCTAGACTGTCTCTGTCGAGAAAGAAATGAGCTCGTATTGAGTTCTTCTCATGCCCAAAGCCAAGGCAAAGGTCGTTAGTTGCTTAATAGAGTCAATTCATAACTGAAAATATAATATTATTGATTGAACTATGGATCAATATAAGTTTGTATGTTTTATGTTATATATCCATATGTAATGTGAAACCCAAAACATAGTATTAGTAAAGATAAATGACTAATGTTATAATGGCGTATGCAGGTCAACATAATCTAATATAATTAAAAAATTCATCGTGCAAGTATCAAACTTACTGATTGCCTTTGAAACAATCGTGAGATCAAGTTATTTCTTACTTATAAATTTATAAGTACCATGGTCTTTCAGCTGGATCTTCAACTTCTTGACTCCCTTGGTTCAAAGTCCAAAATGTGACACTCTGTTATTGTATCAGGACTCCTAGCATATTATATCAACATTTCTTCCACAAGTAGTTGAAACCTCACATATTAATCAATATGTCTTGTCAACTATAAAAAAAATTGAATAAAATAACTAATGATGGATCATAGTATAAGCATTTCATATAAATAACTGATATAACTATCGTTATAGCTTAAAATTATGGTTGAAAAAGCAATAAAGAAATAAATTCATTGAAATTGTCACTGAATTTGTAGTTGAAAAATATCTAATGTTATTATCTGAATATCTTTTTAGGTATCACATATAAATCTCATTGATACTAATACTCAATACTGAGTCAATTCAAAACACCTTGCTTCGTTCCAGCATGTAATTCAAAATAAAATGTCAGTGCAAACACCAATTATAAAATTACGCACATTTGTAGGTTATGAATGCTATTGAATCAAATAAGAAAGTGTTGTAATTTTATACTATTACCCTAAGATTTTTATTTTGCAAAAAGGCTTGCACAGATGACACAGGTCCGAGAACCATAGAATTTAACGAAGTCGTATGATATGTACTGCTCCGATACTTCCAAAAATCACTCCGGAGGTACGTACATACACAAAGGCCAAAATGAAAAAAGTTTTTTGTGGTGGATTTCACATGCCAACAATTCCGAGTAATACTCTTGTGCGTGCGTGGTACGAGATTTGGCAACCGCACCAGTTAGGCAAATCCATGCATAGGCGAATCTAAACGTAACTTGCGTTGTTGCCAAGTTTACGTGCTACACAAAATCTAAGCTAAGCGAGAAGCGAGCTAGTCAACGCCGATCAGAGCAAGGCAGTGAGACATCGCAACACAACGGCAGCCGCTATACTGGTGCTGGTGTGTATACGGAGCTCAGACTCAGATAGTCGATGTATGTACCGGAGCAACGGGAAGAAAGAGGGGATCACTCACCGCCATTTTTGCCGCCTGCCGGTTGTGTTTGTCTCTCATATATCTCTCAGCGATGTAGCAGCGTGCGTGCCAGCGTGCTTGCGCCTACCGGTCTTCAATCGCGTTTTGTTGTATATACCTAGTCAGCCAAGTAAAAGTTTCTTCGCTTAATTCGCTCTTAATTGTTAAAGAACTTATTTCTATAAATAAAACGGTAGTGGTAACGTGTGAAAGATGGAAAGTGAAAGGGAAAGTGGTATGAAGAAAAAAATCAAACTGAAAGTAGTGAAATTTGTCAAATCATCGGAAATCACCACAGTACCAGAAAATTGGTTAAAAGAACAAGATGAAGATGCAGAAGAGAGTGAACAAATTGTTAAATGCTCGTGGCCAAACAAGAAAAGCGAGTATGAAATACAGGCGATGATAGAGAAAAGGTCAGCAAGCAAGAATTCATGGCTTACGTACTGTGTGGAAATTCTTGGCCGGTGAGTTTATTATTTTTTTTTTCGGCTGTTTGGAGTTTGTTATCTATGCTTTACGCTGTCGAGTGAAATTCAGTATCCGATGCGCGATGCTTTTTCGTGAGTTGAGTGGGAAATCGATCGTTGCACATACGACTAGCTGCAATCTTAAGTCTTTTGGGAGTACGCGATAGTGATTTAGAAGTTTTCATTGTTTAACAAATATACTTTATTTTTATTTTTTTTTAAGAAAAATGGATAGTCGACAAAAAACTTTTTATATAAATAATTTGAAAAGAGTCGAATTCGTTGGACGATGTATTATAAATCATTTGTAAGCTAGGATACAAAAATGTTTAAATAAGAAAAGAAGAAAAAAAAGGGAAAATCAACTTCCTTCACCCTCATTTCAAAAGTCGATTTTTTTATTTCTCTCTCGTCTAACAGGACGCATATAACGCTTGCTTGCAACACGTGGAGTCGCCTCGCGTGGCCAAAGCTTTACGATTTTTTCCACGTATATATAAGTGTCGCGTGTCTGCGACTATTTACGCAGAAAAAAAAGCAAAAAAAAAAGAAAAGAGATGCTCGTATTTTTCTATATAGTCACACGTCTCTGGACGTGCGAAAAACCTAAAAGGATTGTTAAAAATTTTGCAATTTTTTTATGTACGCGGAACGTCAACAATATCCGGTTTTTGAATATTTTATAATAAAATTTTTTTTACTGTAAGTTACTTTCGTTTACGATGTGAATTTTTTTTAATAATTTTATTCGAATATTGTATTTAGTTCAATTGAAAAAAAATACCGAATAAAATAAAAAAATTATCAATGCACTTATATGTTTTTACCGTTCAATGAGCATAAAATGCTTATCATTTGATAAATGCGATTCGATTTAAACAATTTTAATGAAATAAACAAGGTGTGTACAAAATGTATATTATCTCGTTTTTCACCCGATTTTGTTCGGATAATTCTCACTTCATTTACGTGTTTTTGTATGTTTATTGCTCTCAGAGGAAAACAAATACTCTCGTGCTTCTCTCTTTCTCTATCTCTTTCTCCTTCGTGTGGAGTAACTCAAATTAAATTTACATGCCGTTTGGCTTACACACACACTCACTCGAGTGCAATGAATTGTAAGTCCGTGTAACGTAATTTTCAAAACTCGAGAATTTAAAATCAAAGATATAAGCTTTTCTTCGATGTCATTGAAATCAAATTTTTTTATTCTCGCAAATGATTAACATTTTATACCAATAAAGTTCAATTTAACTTCTCAATAGCATAGGTATATAGTCGCCCCATAAGGATTATTTTGATAAAACTTCGTAAACGCGTTGCAAACAAAGTTTAACACTCATTAACTACCGATAACATATCGCCATCAAAGAGTGGAGTTTTCAACGCGAGAGACCATGAAATGAGAATATTGTAACTGCATTTTTATTTCTCACCTTCTCGTGAATGTACTTAATTCAATATTTATTTCTTTCATAGACACATTGCTAGAAGCTAAAGCCAAAGAAAAAATAGCTTCTTCGGATGAAAACTGCACTGATATTGACGCAAAGTACGATCGTCAAATGAAGGAAGCGCAAGAAAGGTTGACATTGAAGTCCAAGAGGAATCGAAAACGAAAGAAGCACGACGATTACGTATACGATGCTGAAGTTGATTCGTCCGATTCTGAATCAGACGAATCAAGTGACCGTACCGGCGAAAATGATGGATCAAACGTGCCTGAGGAGACGCCGCCCCGCGTGCCGCAAGACCAAATCTTTAAACCTCGTGAGTTTACATAATATTTATTTATCAACACTTGATAATATTCCAAAATAATGTTATTTCTATAATCGCTTTTTTCATAAGTCTCATCGTTAAAACTATTTTTTTTTAAATTAATTATCATAATTCTCCAAAATAATATATGCTAAATAAAAATTGAAGATTGATAAAATACATCAACGATTTAGTAATCGAGTAATTTTTTAATGTTCACATTAGAATATATGCCTTGAAATAAAATTTTTTTTTATTGTTTGCCTTCTAGAATATAATCTTTAATCATGATATTTATTTAGATGTTTAGATACACTTAATTCTTCAACAAATTCTAATTCTGTAGAGGCAAGCTTTGCAACTAACAATGAATCGATGGAGGATGGCGACTCGATGAATGAAGGTATAAGTTGGAAATTGTTCTCTATTAAGAAATAAATAATTTTGATGACGTACAATTATAAAAATAATGTTGAAAATTGTATATAACCATTTTCTAATATTCAACTCAACTTTAGAATATTTCACTAAATTCTAAAAAATCTTTTGTGTAAATTGTATTGCATGTTTTTAACAACAAAGTTCTTAATAATTTTTCATATTGCAATACATGTATTCCAATGTTTAGATGATCTCTTGCACAAGAAGAAAGATGAATTTGATAACATACAGGACAACGCTGTTGGTGATGGTACCATTGCGCTTGAAGAGGAAAATATGGATGAAATTACCAATGTTCTGGCTGAGACTCAAGATTCACCCAAAGGACCACTTGAAACACTTGAAAATGAAGAAGCTTTTCATACATCTCAAGCACCATCGGGTCAACAAAAATCTACAAGTAACGAGGATTTATCCAAAAGTGAAAGTACCACTGAAGGTATGTACACGTTCATTTCTCACAACTACTATCTTCTCTAATTGCTCCCGTTTTTAATAATGTTATGAAAAGAATCATTTATTCTTTGCTTTTATAACATTTATTTATAAAACGTCTTTTTTTTAAGGCAAACCTTGGAACATTGTTCAATTGTTGAAGTGGCGCGATCTAACGGTGGTTCCATCCATCTGGGTATCCAAAGATAAAACGACTACCCGTTGGCCTCCCGATGAATCAAAAAATCTTGTACGCAATTACATTGTTCAACGTGTAAAACCTTGTGACGACTGGAGAACCATAAGTATCAAGCAATTCATCGATTCTGCAGGTAATCCACTTGAACAAATCAATTGATTTCATTTCCTCAATTTGAATTAGCTACAATAAACTTTTTTTCAACTTATTTTCTACTTTTGAAAATTACAATTGAGAAATAAAAATCTGTGGTTTCCTGGCATAACCGGACATCTGGTTTTTCGCGATTTCAAGTTATCTCATTTTTAAGTACGAATAGAACATCTATAATTAACATTTCGTTTATGGAATTGATTTTTAGTCTTAATTACTAATAATAGGAACCCTTAGAAAAACTTTCTGAATGCAATTCGCCAATCATTAATATTTTATTCGTATTTGAAAAAGGGACAACTTGAAATCGCGAAAAACCAGATGTCTGGTTATGCCGGGAAGCCACAGAAATGTTGATTGCAAATAATTACTAATACTTATAAACATTTTCAATATTTTTCAGAAACATATGCCTTGGCATGCGAGTTTATTGACAAGAAAGAAAAAGATCTTGAAAAAGATAAGAACTCACTAAGGATTTCAAGTGATATTCACATGGCCAACTCAACAGTAAAGGAGGACTTTTCGCCGAAAGATTTTTTAAACATAGACGAAAACGATCTCAATGCTATGAATTCAGACGAGATGTTTAAGTGTACTTTGCGTAAGTTTTATGTTCCAATTTTATATATATTGATTACTATAGACGAGGTGTACTTTTCACTCGTCAGAGTGTCTTGGTGTCTTGATTTATAATTTATAAACAATAACGAAAAATTATATGCTTGCAGTTGGTGTCCAAGAGGTTTGTTGTAATCAGCATCGTATTTCGGAGGATTTAAAATTTCAAGCAATTGCAGGAAATAATTCTGCACTTGCATATACATCTTCTCCGGCGTCTTCAGCCTACAAACTAGATAAAGTTAGAGAAGATTTTCCAGCCACATCTTTGAGACACTTCAAAGAAAATGAAACCAAATTAGAGAATGAAGCATACGCTGCCGCAGTTGTAAGTCTTTCAACGTATTTTCACTTAAAGTAATATTGAAGTATACTTCAATTTTTAAGTGAATACATTTTTATCTTATATTTCTAGACCGAATTTTTGCGCGATCTTGGCGGACCTACCGGGCATAGGCGTGTTCACACCATGCTCAGTCGAACTGTGAGTGACAAAGTTGGCTCTTACTTTACATTTCTCGGCATGAGCAACACGAAAATTAATTTTTCTGCACAGAAAATCTGGAAAATTATCAGAGGTATGTATTTATTAGAATATTGTGCATCAAACATCTACAGCATTTATCTTTTACCTTATGCTCTTGAAGATATTGCTGTGGAAGCACACAAACATCAGGGCTATACATTCGATGCAGCAGGTACAAGCTGTGGCGCATGGTTGAGACAAGTACCATTTAATTTGGAGAAAAAAAGGAAAAGAAATGCAAAGTATGTACATTTTTAATTATTGTCGAATAAGCGCAATATGAAGATATTTTTATCGCGATTATTTTTTTCATTTTAGAAAAAAAAAGCTGACCCTTGAAGATATGATTCATGAAGAAGAAAATGAAGACTGAAACGTTACAACAGAAAAATCGAGACGTTTTAGCGTAGTAAATGCCATCTTACTTCATATTGCATTTGTGCAACGAAAATTACATGTGGCTGTTCTGCTTTCATGCTTGAAATGTTCAAAATAATTTATTATTTCTTTTTTCTGTGCTTTTTTGAAACTCTTTTTCAAATAATCTTGAAAAAAAGTCCGATTGAGATGGAATTTTTCTTATATACTTATAAGATAATTATAAAAATAGTTTCACTCTGTAGATGATACATTCTTTCAAATTTGCGCTAAATTCGCACTAAAGAAAAAATCGTCGAGATAAACTATATATACTTTTTTCCTACAACGGTCATTATTACCTTGTAAATCTTTTGATTTGCAAACGAAAAAAAATATAAAGTATAAAAAAAGGTTTATCTCATCTCGATGAATATGAAAAGAAAAATCGCTGCGTTAACAAAAAAAAATATAAAGATATTCCAGGCAGAATGCTATTGCCAAAGCCTCTTTTTTTTCTTACACTACTGTACGATAAGAAAAAAACCAATTTGTTTCGCGCGTATTTGACTTTGTTGGAATGCTTTCATGCGCAAGATTTTCAAAAAGTTTTAATTTTAAAAAAATACATGTTCGGCAGAAGCTATTTTTTTTTCCTATAACGGTCAATATTATCTCGCAGATATTTTGATTTGCAAAATTTATTTGAAAAAAAAAAACACTTCATTACGATGTCCGAAAAAAATATAAAGTATAAAACAAGGTTTATCTCATCTCGATGAATATGAAAAAAAATGAGTTATACATCGCTGTACTTGTATTATAATTAAATTTAAGATCTCAAAGATTGTCAATGACGGCTGTATAAATATATCGAAATATCGGATTCGTAATACATATTATAATTGAACTACTGCGTGATAAGAAAAAAAACAAATTTGTTTTGACCGTATCTGACTGTGTTGGAATATTTTCGTACAGGAGGCGATCAAAATGTTTTATTCTTCCGTTGAACGAGTTTGAAAAAAAACTTTGTTTTCAATGTTTACGATGGTGGGTTTCAATAATATAAAATAATGAATGTGTTTTCAACAAAATTTAGCTTTTAATTGCCGTGTTTTTTCATTACAAGCTGAACAAAAAAATCTTTAGTAGTTTATTTGCGGCCGCGGATTTTTTTTCAAACTGTTCGACCAATAATCATGAAAAAAAAGTCCGATTAAAATTGAATTTTTTTTACATATAAGATGATTATAAAAATAGTTTCACTTTATAGATGACACATTCCTTCAAATTAGCTCTACATTCGTGCTTGACAAAAAAATTATTGTACTTTTTACTTGAAAAAAAAAACACACGTTCGAGAGAAACTATGTGTTTTTTTCCTATAATGGTCAATATTATTTCGTAGATATTTTGATTTTGAAACGTTTTTTTTGTAAAAAAAGTACCACCCTGTCCGAAAAAAATATAAAATACTAAAAAAGGTGTATCTCATCTCGATGAATATGAAAAAAAAATTTGTTTCACACCGCTGCGTTGACAAAAAAAAATCGACGAACGTATATCAGACTGAATGTGATTTTTTGCGTAAGAAATCCAAGTGCATAAAGCCGTTTTGCGCAATTTTAATTTTGTGTAGAGCTTAATATAATGAAAAAGCGTAACCAAAAAAAAAAGCCTAAGATTGTTGCCTTGCGAGATTAATGAAAATGTTGATATTAAGAATAAGACGATATTATCAAATTGTTCTGCTTTGTACGTATTATTAAGATTATAAGTTGTTTGTAAACTAAATAATGTAACATTTTGTTCATCGAAAAATAAAACAAGATTTTGAAAAAAAAATTCAAAATTATACTCATTACATATGCATAAACGAAAAATGATTTTTTTTATATTTTTTTCATTAATGTTTTGGTGATGTCCTGGAGCCGTTGCTGGAACATTGAGGAAATGTTGCTACAATGTTTCGCAGTTGATTCCTGTAGATCGATATGTTGCCACAATGTTTCAAGAAGGTTGCTAACAAGTTGGAACTAACATCTTCTGGAAAAGGGAGATTGTTGTCAACGTGTTGTATCGTCGTTATGACAATGTTGCGTGACCGCGCTTTTGCAACATTGCAGTAACATTACTACAACAAAGCCATCGATCGCGTCAAATTTTCTCAAATATTTGTTGTGGCAACATTGTGGAAACATCGAGGCAACTTGTTGAGATAACATTTTGGCAACATTTTGGTTCAAATAAAAGCGGACATTTCAATATTGCTCCAACATTTCCGAAACCTTTTTTTGGTTGCCGATTAAGTTGCCGTGTTTGGAAATCAATGTTGTAGCAACATTTTGGAAACAAACCTTGCTGGCTGGGACGGTATCACAATACGTTTTGAAAACGTTCTTATATTGTTTTGTGGGGATTTAACAGTCTTCATCGCTGACCACCAGTTGGCAGCATAGGAATTTAATTGCAGTGGTGACCCCGACGTGATCTCAATGGATTTGCAGGTGAACATCGTGGTCGACTCGAAACAACCGGCATCGTAATTTTTCCGCATTCCTGCGCCTTTGCCGCCACGCAAGTCAGCGACTGGAGCTAAATCGCGGGTGACTGAGAAGAACAGTTCGGGAAATCGTCCAATCATCCGCGCATATCGGAAAACTCTCGCGAACGCAAACTGTGACAGTGAGTACGCGATCGAAGTTAAGAGTAAGGTTAGGCGTATGGTAATGATAAAGAAGATAGTCAAAAACGAGATGGTGAATCCCAACGAAAGTTTGTTACCTTCTTCAAGCATCGCTCAGAATGGCGCGCGTGGTGGCGTAGCCGATCCTTTGGCAGCTCAACGAGAGGAACTTGTCCGTCTGCAGCAACAGTTGAGTGCTAACGGCATGCACGCGGCGCGCACGTGCAATCTCCCCGCAGTTTTGAAGGAAACTCCAGAGGCATGGTTTCTGCACGCCGAATCAATGCTGACTTGCCACAACATCACCTCCGACGACATGAGATACAACCACGTCGTGTCTGCCTTGGATCCGTCGATGTCATGGGATTTACTCGATGTGCTGCAAAGCCCATCGGTTTCAGGCAAATATGATCACTTAAAGGCGCAGGTCATATCGTGTTTTGGCCAGAGAGTCAAGCAACGGCTGCGCAAGCTGTTCAACGGTGTGCAGACATAAGGCCGCAAACCCTCGGCTTCATTGTCTCGCTACTTCCCTATTCGGCAGTCCCCGGGAAAACGATTTTCACTAAGCAGGAGTTTAGCCTAACAGCGGCGAACACTTTGTGTATCGCCACATACGACCGTCTCGTGCTCGCACTCAACTTGGGAATACGCCGAGAGTACACCTGGTCGTTCATCATCGCGGACTTTCAGAGAGCCATCATCAGTGCAAATTTCCTGGCCCACGCAGTCCTGATGGTGGACCTGTAGAAGCTGTGCCTCATCGACTCTACGACGAGCCTCAGCACACAAGGACAGCCGTGCACAGCCGCAAAACACTCTGTGGCCATTCTCCACAATCCTAGTAATTTCTTGTCTTCATAAAAATGTATGACAACGACAGGAAGACTGCGTTTATCTTTTAAAGAAGGATCTTCAAAAACGCAATATAGACGCACGTCTATCCCAAGATATACTCAAGATATACTTGAGATATACACGTATATCTCAAGAGCACGAGATTGCTAACAAGTATACAAAAGAAGAACTATCACTGGCATTAAAAATTAAACTACAATCATCTAGTACTAAAAATACCTCCGAAAATGAAGTACCTGATGAAGAACCTGATAAACCAGATACTGAGTTGATTCATAAATCATTATATGTTTTCTGACTTAGATTTGTCATACCGCAAATATGAAAAATTAAGATCTTAGCGTTTATGAATAATTCTTTACATTTCAGTTCAAGTGGTGATGAGAATAATGATTATTAACAAGAAAAATTTTCCTGATGCATCTGTATTTATTGCATATCTATTTCCTATTGAAGTAAGAACTTCTGATGGTAAAATAGTGTGGCTTAATAATAAACCATTTTCAACTTTGTATTGGCGCCCAATAAGCTTTGAATTTGTAAAGGAGAGTGATATTAATACAATAAAAACTTATAAAAGAATTTCAAAATCATTGGAAAAAGTAAAAAATTATGAACTGAAATTTATGGATATGGAATTTAATATAACGTTTGATTTTAGATGTACAATGATATATGGTAAAGTGGGAAATGTTTTGACAAACCAAAAATCTTCCAACTGCTGCAATATTTGTAAAGTTGGTCCAAAATATGTAAATAAAATTAATTACTTTTTAACATCCAACTGTCTTGATGAATTTTATAAATTTGGATTTCCAATATTACATAGTTGGATTAGATTCATGGAGTATCTATTACACATTGCGTATAATTCTGACTTTAAGGAGTGGTCAGCATCAGGTACCAACCAACAAATAAAAAAAAGTCGCAAAAATATTATTCAACAAACTTTGAAAGAACAAATCAGGATAACAGTTGATGTTATTAAACAAGGTTATGGTACAACAAATACCGGAAATGTAGCTCGTACTTTTTTTTCTGAGTACAAAGCTGTATCCAAAATAATTGGTATTGATGAAGAGATTATATTAAGACTATATGTAGTGTTACAAATAATATCTTGAAAAATAATATACGTTTAGATATATTTAAAGATTACAGTTTAGAAACAGCCAGAAAATTTGTCTGGTTGGTACAAAATGCCACCATCTGTACATAAAGTACTCATACATGGCTGTGATATCAGGATGACTTTTCCAAAACCTATAGGCTTTTATTTAGAAGAAGCGCAAGAAGCCAGCAATAAAGTTTTTCGTAAAGCTCGTATTGCACATAGTAGAATGATGAATAGACTTGTAACAAACGAAGATATAGCGCATTACTTATTAGTAGAGTCAGATCCCTTACTAAGTTCTATAAGAATTGTAGAAAAAAAGATAATAAAGATTTGATTCCCGAAGCAAAAGTAT